AGACTGGAGGGTTCTGACATTTGTTTTCTGAATGTTACTACTTCTAGCAATGTGTGTCCGTTTGTTATGCTCTGTAATGTTGGCCCTATGTAGATGGCAGAGGAACACTGCTGGCAGGGGATGGTATATATCACATTAGAAAAAGTGGCTGCACCATGATGTTAGTGACATTATTAGGACCTGTAACAGTGTTGCCAAAATAGGCATGGAGACTAAGAGACCACCTACATAATCATCAATCAGCTGAATATGAGAGAGAGGGGATAAGGATGGTGGTCCAGTAATGCAGAGCAAGGTTCAGCACCGCTGGGCCATCCAGCTGCTGGAGCTGTTCTGTGCAGTACAGTGCAGTGAAGACACTGAACCAGCTCAGCAACTAGCTTTGTGGACTTCTGTGGCACTGATCTAGATCAGCATCGATAAATGTAGCCCATGTAGATGGGACCAAAGCAGTCCTCTGGGCTTGTAGCAGGGTATGTCTCCTGTACTTTCATACATGTCGTTAACAGGGTAATTTTTTGGTGGGGATGAGAGACAGGGCCTTCTCTGTGTTGGCCCTTTGCTGTGAAACTCCTTCCCCAATGAGGTTAGATTTGCCCCCTCCCTCCTGACCTTTTGGAAGAAGCTTAAATCCTGGTTATGGGATCAGACATTCACACAATAGTTTGTTTACTGAGAAAGACAAGATTTATTGGACCAGGCTTGGACTGCTTTGGATGACGATTTTAGTTCTGGTGATTTCAATCTGGTGAATGGGTTCTTAATGCATATTTAGAATTATTTTAATATTGTGGAAGCATTTATTATGTGTTTTATATTATGTTTGCCTATTTGGAAGCTGTTCTGAGTCCCTCTGTGGAAATTGAGAAGGATGATGTATAAATGTTTTAAATAAACAAATAAATTAAGTAAGTAAGTAAGTATAGGCCTGCCACCCAAAACATGAGATTCATTGATGATGAATGTGAGTTCTCTCAGCAGAGAGCAATAGGTGGCAACAAATGATATTTTGTAATTCTCTCTTGCAATAGCTTATGTCTGGGTAACAATAATATCTTTCTGATCTGTTTTCCCCCCACCTCATTGCATGACTATTTTAGTTTGAGGTATGTATGCCAGTGGTTCCCAACTTTTGGTCCTCCAGTTGTTTTAGACTTCAACTCCCAGAAATCCCAGGCAGCTTACCATCTGTTAGGAATTATGGGACCTGAAGTCCAAAAACAACTGAACACCATAGGTTGAGAAACACTGATATATGCTATACATCCAGATGTAGAGTTCTTAACACAAGAATACAATTAGACAAAGTTGTAGCTGAGACAAAGTTGTAGCTGAGACCAGATGATTATGATATCACTGAAGTATCTCAGGTAGAAAATGGGTTTTGGAATACAAGTACTGAGAAAGTATTTTCCAGATCATTTTGGACTGGACCTGTTAAGGTACATTCATGTGGATTTGATCTTGTATGTCTGTGGGGAGTTCTTTTATCAATTTGTGAAGAACTTATTCCTCAGTTGGATGTATGGGTAAGGACCTGCACATTGTGCTGTTAGACCATTGTCTCCCAGACTGCTAGGAAATATGTTTTTCAGCATGGCAGAGACCCCTCCTGTGTTTTTTTCATGAAGGCATTGGAATTGTTTCTGAATCTGCACACAGCATCACATTTTGTATGGCTGAGACTATATGGTAGATTGCATCTCTCATGGATTAACAAGTTCAGGGGAAAACTGGATGGAGTCTAAACATGCTAAAGGAAAAAGACAGCTAGTAAGGATGGGAGTTCTTGAAGAAGGAATTGTCAAAAGCACAATCACAAACAAAGCCATGGAAGAAGAAAAATGGGAAACATCTTTTTAAAAAGCCAATATGACTGCTCAGCAAATTCAAAGACAAAGTGAGAAGGAAAAAAAAGAGTATGTATAAAGAATGGAAGGAATAACCAGTCACCAAGGAAGAATACAAATGCCCAGAGCACTTTTTCTTCCAAACTGTATCCTAGAACATGGCCATACAGCCTGAGAAACCTACAACAACCCACTGTATTGGCATGCTTTTCCCTCCTTCTCTGTAAGCACTTTACATCATGCTTTGCAGATATGGCAGGAATAATATAAAAAAAATCGAAGCTCAGAATGATGTGATACTGGCTAGACATGTCAAAGAGCAACAAAAAAAGCCGTCCTTGCTTCATTCTGGACTGTCAAGCTTCATAGCGGAAGTCTCTGCCAATATACTCAGAGTAGGGGGATGCCACATAGCCACATGCACAGTGGTGTTAACTAGGAAGTGATCTTGGCTTTTGTAAATACAAACAGAGAAGAGAATGGGAATACAAAAATTAGAAAGCTATATAATTCTCATTATTGATTCTTTGATGCAGCTGAGTCTTTTAGCATTTTCCTCCCAAACTATATTAGCATGTTTTCTCCTCATTCTCTGTGAGCAAATTGCATTATGCTTTGCAGATTTAGAAGATAAATAATTCTGGAAATTTAAAGGTGCTAAAATAGCTGTACTCCCCTGCAATCATATAGTGCCAAGAAAATGGTTTCATATGAAGCTTCATCAATCCTATGGCAAATTGTTTTGCATTACAATTAAAAAAAGATGGGTCATGCTGATGTCACTTACAAGACAGCACAGGGAAATCCTCATTTGCATTTTCAGCTCATAGTGGAGCCCTTGTCATCCCATCAAAAAGGAAATGAGGAGACATCATTAGGCAGCCCCACTTGCTTCTTGGGGCTTGTTATTAACACCTCCTCCACAGAATTATGGATGAAGACTAAAACTACAGATGCAGCTCCCTGAAGGATATATAGTTTAGATCCCCATGCTTGTTGGTGGTTTTGGTGACACAAAGGGATTAGAAAGAAGCATGGGCACTTAAAGAATAATATAAGCAGCTGCAGTTACGTGTATTTAGGCTTAGAATGGAGCCTGACAGTACCTTCCCTTCTCTTGAAATTGAAAGTAAGACCTATCTAAACAAGAAAATTATAATAAAGGAGGCAAATGCTACTTCAGAGGAACCTCAAGCAAAGAAAACACTAGAATACCCAACAGAAGCAACAAAGTCAACAAGTTACCCATGTAATATTCATTTTCAAAACAGAAGATCACTCCTGCAGACTGTTTCCACTCAAATAATGAGAAAAGGAGTGGGCGCATTTATTAATCAAACAAGTTTTAATCAGCTTAGATGATATGCAAGTATTTAACATAATAGCCTTCTTGATAACATTCTTTGCAGTAATGAGCTTCTCAGTGCAGTTTTAAAGAGAGAGAGAAGATGGCCTATTGAATAAGTGTTTCAAAAATGCTATTAGGTCACAGATTTCAGTGCTCCTTTACTAGTGTCCTTTGGCTTTCATCAGCTCATTAAAATCTCAGATTTCATCTCTTCACCTTTTGCATCTCCCCCATTCAAGATGTTTATCTTTCTCTTTCTTCATGTGCACCAGTGTAAGATTTTGTGTCTCTTGACTTTGATTTTCAAAAATACCCAAAACAAGGAATTAAATTTATGGATTTATAATACTTTGTAAGATACTGATAAGATTATTACATATTGTATATACTCACATACATCGACTTTATGTATAGGTCAAGGGCAGGTTTGCAGACCAAAATTATGGCTTTTATATGATCAGCCTTCACAGACTACACTGAGTTGCTGGTCAAGTTATGGTTTTAATGGACTAGGATGGACTGGTTTTAGGACAACGCTTCAAATCAGCAATTGTTTTTAATGTTTTATAATGTTTTTATTATAATATGTATACCTGTGTGTTTTTGTTGTGGGCCCCATGTTGTGCTGGTTGTTAGCCGCCCTGAGTCCCTCTGCGGAGGTTGAGATATGACAGGATATAAATGCCCTAAATAATAAAATAAATAATGGATAATTCAGTGGCCGTCCCACAAGAGGTAAAACACCAATGCTGACTCAGGGGATCAGCAGCCCCAGCCCCAGCATCCAAAAAGGCCAGAAGCAGTGATGTGGCAGAGAGAAGAGGGTAGTTCTGACCTTTTTGGTTCTCCCAGAATGCCCCTGGTTCCAACCCATTCTGCCTAAATGCAAAATATATACTGTATTTTCTGGCATATAAGACTATTTTTTAACCCAGGAAAATCTTCTCACAAGTCGGGGGTCATCTTATACACTGGGTATCGTCTTATAGGGTGGGTGCTGAAACTTCCAAGCCGGACTAGAAAATCTGCAGTCGCCGTATATGGTGGAGGAAGCTCAAAAACAGCTGTGGTCGCATCCCTGCCGTATGTGGCGACCGTATGAAAGCAGCAAGAGTGGCATTGCACAAGTATGGTAGAAGAAAATCCACTCATCAGGATTCATGGAAAGAAGTGACAACACAGTCCTGATGACAAGGTGAGGGGGTGCCTCACTGGGAAGGTGTAAGTGAAGGGCAGAGCAAGCTGCAGGTGTCCGGGATGCCCAGGGTATGGAAAAAAGAAATAGAGGGATGCTGCGCCCAGAAAAACACACCTCTTTCACCCATCTGGCCCGCCCTTGTATCCTATTACTGTACATCCTTCTCTGCCTCTCAGATCACACTCCTGAGGACTGCAGCAAAGTAGCGCAGGTATGCATGTGTGAGATCTGAGAGGCCGAGAAGGAAGTACGATGATGGGAAAATTACCAAATTGAAACAAAATCTGATTTTTTAAAAATATTTATTTGGTGTTAGTCTTATATGGTGAGTATATCCCAAACTCTATATTTTAATTGGGCATCATTTTATATGCCCAGTCGTCTTATATGCCGGAAAATACGGATAATAAACTTTAAGTTTTAAGATAACAACCACATGAATTTCAACTAAGAATTGCATCAAAGTATTGAAAATCACTATGGATTGAGGGAGGCAGGAAAATCTATTCTACCCATATGTGACAATTTTGTATACACTTTATTTCTGAAATTGGCAATTCCGCTCTATTGCTTCCCAGATGAAAAATCTTAATTTCATTCACAGGTTTTTGCCAACGACACACTCTCCGTAATGGACTGCTTGCCTTTCTACCGTTCATCCCCTGCATGCACCACCGGTCTTCAGGGCGTCCTGATAGGAAATCTTTCTATCTTAAATCCTAGACAACAGATTAATGGTCTAACCTCCTTCATTGATGCGTCTACTGTTTATGGCAGCACAACAACAGCAGAGAACAAACTGAGGAATCTGACTGGCAATGAAGGTCTCCTCAAAATAAATGTGAAATACTTTGACAATGGTCGTGAATATCTTCCCTTTGTCAACCAAGTCCCTTCAGCTTGTGTTCAGGACCCCAAAACAGACAATGGAGAAAGGATTGAATGCTTTATGGCAGGAGACACCAGGTCTAGCGAAGTCATTTCCTTGACAGCTGTACATACACTTTGGTTGCGAGAACACAATCGCCTTGCTAAAGAACTGAAGAAGTGGAACATGCATTGGAGTCCTGAAATCATCTATCAAGAGGCTCGCAAAATTGTGGGGGCTCTCCATCAGGTAGGATGAAACAGGTTAACATATTATATCATATGTTGTTGTTGTGTGCCTTCAAGTAATTTCTGACTTATGGTGAACTTCAGGTGACCCTATCATGGATTCATTCATTCATTCATCCAGCAATATGTGGCATTTCTTCCAGATTGGGACCCAAAGCAGCTCCCAAAAATAATTAGTTTAAAATATATGATACAATTTAAAACAAATTAAAACCATATGATAATACATTTTGAATGCCTTTGCATGCCATTGAAACAACAGCAGGTAGGGATCAAGCTAGCCACAGAAGGGAGTTCCAGAGGATGGGAGTAGTCACTGAGGAGGTTCTCTCTCCTGTATTCACCAAGCGAGCCTGGATTGTGGTGAGCCTAAGAGAAACCAAGGTCCTAGAAGGCTGGCTAGAAAGTTACAGTCTTCCAGAAAGTCTGGACCTAAATTGAGATTTTCTTGTCAAGACTTGTTCAGAGGTTGTCATTCCTTTCCTCTGAGACTGTGAATGTGACTTGCACAAAGTCACCCAATGGATTTGCTTGGCAAAGTGGGGGTTCAAATCCTGATCTTCTGAATATTCACACCATGACACAACTATGTGTCAGCCCATCCCATTTTGTTTTTGAATTTCTCACCCCCTGCATACTTCCTATCCTATCCTTTCTGCACTCTCCTTTTCTCCAAAGTGATTTTTTTCTCCTGGAACAACAGTTGACTGTTTAACTTTTGGGGGGAAAAAACGACTGACTTTTCATCATCCTTTTTCTGTGTATTTTTCTTTCTTTATCACAATTTATTTTTCTGTTTGGAATAGTCAGCAGTCCCAATAGTACCTTGGGGATGATAGTGGGATCTCACTCCCACTGAAGTTGCCCACCACAACATTATGTTCTGATTCATATTTATGAAGAAAATATTCATTATTGAGCATCTTTTTGATTTTTTTAAAATATCCTTTTTTACATAAACAAGAAACAGTATATTTACTCGAAGTATTGAGAGGAAGCAGGATCAGCACAAATCCCAACCTCAGCACATTTACAGGCTCTGCAGTTTATGGAGCAGAGATTGGAAAAAGCCCTTTTTTGTACTGCTGTTCCCAGAATTCTTCAACCAACATGGCCTTCATCCCAAAAAGCAATGTTTCCATGCTGAGGCATAGCGTCTGAGTGTATACAACTTACTTGCACCTCCGTCTTCCATGCAATTTGAATCCTTTCTTCTTTTATTCATTTAGCCAGCTTACAAGATATTTGACGATATGGGTGCAAAAAAAAAGGCATCCTTTTTCATCCTCTCTGTTTCTTTCTTGAACTATTCTGTTTTATCATCTATCCACTTTGTATGCCTTATTGGCATGCATGCCTCTTTATAGTTACACTTTACTATTGTTTTCAGGCACAGTGTGCAAAATTGCATTTTGTAGACAAATAACTGCATTCCTTTAAAAGGCATTTGGGATTTCTGATGCACAAACTCTCTGTTTAGAAAGTCATTTGACTACATAAAATAAATATATCTGAAAATAAAGAAGAAAAAATTAAGAATTGATTACATAGGATTTGATCCACTTGTACACATGGTTCAGTGTCTGCGCATGGGGGGGGCGGGAATATATTTTCCCCTTTCGCGTTAGTTATATGAGCTTCTGTGGATAAGAATAAATTGTCAAGCATTAGGATTTTTTTAAATGTTGACAGGCACCCTTCAGCATGTACAGATTTGGCAAGGCAAGGCTGCCATCAACAGGATCAGTTGCACTGTTCATTGGGAAGTAGCTAAATAATGGTCCCATCAGTAGTACCCACCTCACAGAATTGACTTCTGGTATGACAGAGAAGTGATAGGGACCCTGATTCTGTGTTTTGCACCAGAGATCACCCCCCAGGAGAAAGTGGCTCCATTACGCATCTGCTTCCCAATCAACAGAGAAACAGACCCATTTTGATTGCAGTGACTGCTGGCTGGCAAGTGAGGACTGAACAGATTGTGCCAGGAGTCACTGCATAACTAACTTACATCAGTGGTTACACATTCATAACTACCAAAGTGAATTCCAGCTAATATTTCTATGCTGGATGTTCTGCAATCTTTAGACTAATCATTATTCATTTGCAACTTTTCATTAGATAAATAAGTTGACAGATACATGTAATTACTATAAGAAGTTATTAAAGGCTTAAAACGAACAGTATATTTACAGCACTATCTAGTCTTTTTTTGCTTTTTCAGAAAAATATTGTTCTCTATTCTGTTTATAGAAAACCTCTGTTTCAGCAGAAATTTTAGCATACAATAATCAGTTTTCTCAATACATATGGTTTGTTAATATCTAGAGCCATTCTCGGTTATGTACATTTGTAAAATCTAAGCCACATCTCTGTTCAACATGAAAAGTTGGATGAATCTGTAGTCTATAGCACAGTAAGTTAACGACGATTACAGTGATTTAGAACTTCATTGCATGAAGGCAGTAAATCAACACTGAAGCAGGACTATCACTTTTAGTGACAGTTCCTGTCGTATGATGCTGTGTACAACCCATTACCAGTCTGCCATCTCTCCATGCAGCGTCATGCAATAAAGTCCTCAGGCAGGAATGATGAACCACGTACTTGGAACAAATCACATTGAGCTTAATAGTAGTCAGCAATTATTTCTCAGTGGCATGAAGAAGTTTATACAAAGGCAGTTTGTGAATTACAAACAAAATAGGTTCTGTAGCTTTGTTATTAAGTTGAATTTGTATGTAAGTTGGAACAGGTACATTTTTAAGTGTCATTTCATATATATATATATGGAGAGAGAGAGACACACATCCTTTGGGAATTATAGAAAAAGGTTAACATTCCCATGGTGTTTATTTTGCTGTCTGTGCCTCTCTTTAGAAGATCTCACCTTACTTTCTGTTCCTGTGATAATTGGATTTTGGAAAAAAATGGCTTGTTATAGAAACAAGGTTTGGTGATAAAGCTTCAGTGGATACACCTTTTCCCCATGACAACTCTTTCAGGAGTGAATTTCCCTTCCGTGGGGTAGATTTCTCCAACTTCCTGTTTTCTTTCCCGTGTTCTTAACTATGAGTCATTTGTAAGTCTGATGTTTGTAACTTGGGAACTGCCTGTACTGTTGTTTTCATTGAGTTCAACCAAAATGAACTTAAAGCTGTAAGTATTGCATCAGCTATGTTTAGGCATGGCTGTTACTTTATTATGGTAATTATCTAGCTATATTTTGGCTTCCATTATGGCTGTCCTCGGGAAACTATTCAAAATATCGCCACACAGTGTCATAATCTCAGAAAACTTTCCATATGATTAAAGTAATCCTTATGGCAAATTACTATCAAACTTTATGAATACTATAACCAACTATTGTTGCACTTAACTAAGGTCCTAAATGAACTGCATTGAAATTGTCTTAAACAAACTATATTGATACATTGAGGATAAATTCCATTGCAATAATTTTAAGGCAGCTGGAAATTCCATCTAGTCTACTTCACAGTTAGGTGCCATCTCTAAGAAAAAGATGGATTCATAGGCTTTGATGAGTTTCTTATATTAAAAATATTGTTATGCATGCTTAATCATATTGATCAAATTACACCATAGATGCCTCATCAATTCCCTGATGAGGCATCTATGGTGAGAAGCTCCTCAGCAATAAACTCTAGTGCAATTTAATTTAAACAGGACTTGGGAGAAAAAGACTGTGGTCCAGATGTGCTTTGGAGTTCAGATTTTTGAATACAACAATTTGCATATATGCATAGCATAAGCTATCTTGGAGATAGGGCCATGTCTAAACATGAAACTGATTTATGTTTCATATACACCTTATACACATAGCCTTAAGGTAATTTTATGAAACGTTTCTAATAATTTTGTGCATGCAAAGTTTGTGCTCTACCTGTGTATTCTCTCACAATCAGAGAGCACCCACATGATCCTCTTCTTGAAAATGTTCACATTTCTGAATAAGAATTCTAGCTAAGATAGGGGGGAAACATCGCACACTTCATTTAGTCTTAATAAAGGTATTTTAACCAGCCTGAGCATTAGTCCTCCTTATAGCTTTCGAACATACACTATGCATGTTCCTATATTTTAAATGTGCTGCTTGTGTTATAATAATTGCCTTGAGAGATTCAGAATGGGGGTTTTGGCACTTGTTAACGGAGGACAAATCTGGAGGGAGGATATGTGCAGTAGGCTTCTGGGTGTTCACATATGAGTGGCCTGGAACCAGGCACTTCATGCCCCTAGACAAAATAATTTCCAAAAGGCACTTTCTGTGTATAACTCTGGGCTACTCATCATCTGTCTGAATATCACAGATTAATGAGATCAGCCTGTGGCACATTAGAAATGATTTGGAGTGGATTGGGTCACTTCAGGGACACACGTTCCATCTAGTATGCAACTCGGCTCCTTACATTATAGAATATTACAATGAAAGCCTCTAGAACTGAAGCTGTCCAAGCATTTTTTTTTCATACTAAAACTTATTTCCAAGCAATTACAGCCTTGAAAACAATAAATCGGGAAGCTAGAAAAAAAATAGAATAGCACAAGTAAATTGAAAAGAAAAGAAAAGAAGAGGACAGGAGTGAGGGACTAATCAACATTGCATATTTTCTGTTTAATAATATGAAAAGCTAGAAAGTGAGCAAGCTAGTATTTATCAACATTTTTTATTAAGACTTAGCTGCTTTGAGGAGAGTAACAAAAATGGTGAGAGAAGGCTCTTCTAGGACAATATGGTAGTGAGGATTTATACAACACATAACATAATTATGAGGTGATGACTCCACTTTAACTGCAATGATTCCATCCTATGGAATCTTGGGATTTGTCATTTAGGAAATCTCCTAGAAGCCCCAGGTTTCACAGGGCTCATCCATGACAGTTAAAGTGGAATGTATACACCCAGGCCTCTTGGAACCATATCTCCTTAATCTATTGATTAGCAAGTTTTATCCTTTAGCCTCAATTCCCATGGTTGGT